GGGAGGGCCCCAGGCTGGAGCAGTTCGTGGGGAGCTCTCTGCCGTGGGGGGACCCCAGGCTGGAGCAGGGAGGAGTGTAAGGTTTTATCCTCTCCTGCTCCAGTTGGATTGGTCATAAATTACCTGGATTTCCCCCAGCTGAGCCCGTCCTGCCCCCGTCGGTCACTGGTGAGTGATTTCCCCCGTCCTTATCCCAACCCACCAGCCTTTCCATAGATTTTTCTCTCCCCTGTTCCGTTGAAGACGGGAGCGATGGAGCGGTGTTGGGGGGCACCTGGCATCCAGCCAGGGTCACCCCATCACAGGGATGCGAGGCGTCGCTGGGTTTGCCACCGAAGGAGGAGCTGGCCACAGGGGAGGTTTTCCGGAGCAACGATGGTTTCTCCATGTCCGGAAGCCCCCGCCTTGAGCCGGGCCCCAGCCCTGACACTCGCTTCTCCCGTGGCGAGGCAGAGCTCGGGGGCTGATGTCGGGCTGAGGTCGGGCTCGGCGGATTGCCCGGTGGTGCTGGCGTCAGTCGGCAAATCCAAGCGCTGGACCTCGGCCGCGAGGAGCCGGGAATCACCCCAGGTGAAACTTCCCTGCCTGGGGTGTCCGTATGCGCCCCGACGCCTCCCGGCGTTGGGCTGAAGTGGCCCAGGAGCAATCGCATCTCTGAGGCAGCCGAACACGCTGCAGCCTGCTTTTCATCGGGGAGGCGGATGATTGTCCCGGCAATCCCGATATCTCGCTGTAAACAGCCTTCGATTGGATGCAACGCGGCCTCCGGACTGTAATGTATTTCCTCAGTTCCTCCACGTTGCGCGCCGAGGCCGCTGCCCGCGTTCTCCAGCTGCCCCCTCGGCCCTGGTTACGCGCGCCCCCCTGTAACCGCTTCACTGGGCTCCCTCGCTTGCGTTCATCGCGACCAACTCCCCGATGACCCCGTCCCCGCACGCGTGGCTCCTCCTTGACCGAACCCCTTCCTCCACGATGTCGCGCGTGTTCGTCTCTGTCTGTTCCCTCTCCAATTCCCCTTGCACTGCTCCACTTTCCCCTGCCTGTAGCGCTCACATCCCGGCCCCCACAAATGTTTTTGGGGAGCCCGGGGCTCCCCTGGCGCCTGGAGCTGCTCCGTGCCCAAGACCCCGGGAAGCCTGGGGCTGCAGGCAGGATGAAGAGCGGGGGTAGAGGAGGAGGAGGAGCCCCCAGACACCTCTGGGGAGACGGTTCCTCCATCCCAGCCCAACCCTTGGGATAGCAGAGGGGTCTCTGCCCCGTCCCTTGCCCAGAAGCGACGGCGCTGCCTGTCCCTCCAGCCCCACCGGGGTCCCTCGTGCTCCCCGGCGTCCTGTGGCCACC